GAGGTTGACTGTCTGGGGGAGAAGATAAAACAGAGTATTTTTAAGTTTGAAAGTGATGGTTGCATAAGAGAGACATGGGTAATTGCATAAGAGGAGCACAGTAAAATACCCTCAATTTTAAGTTTAAAGGGGGAGCCAGGTGTGGTGGCGCACGCCTGTAATCCCAGCACTTGGGAGGCTGAGGTAGGAGGATCATCACGAGTTGAAGACCAGCCTGAGCTACAAAGTGAGCTCAAGGCCAGCCTGAACTGCATAGCGAGACCCTGTCTCAAAAAAGACAAAAAAAAAAAAAAAAGTTTAAAGGGGGAACATGCCAGGCATGGTAGCACACACCTATAATCCCTGCACTCAGAAGCTGAGGCACGAGAATTGCTGTGAATTCAAGGCCAGCCTGCACTACATAGCGAGGCCCTGTCTCAAAAAGGGGGGAGGACATGTTTTCTAGCTTTAAACTAGTTAGGAGCGAGTAACATCAGCTCCCTTTATGAAGTCCTCCTGACATGCTAAACACTGCTACATACATACATGTTGCCTCTTCTAGTATTTATAATAGTCTTAGCAAGTTTTGAACCCAGACCTTTCTGCATTCAAGGCAAGGAGGGAAGGAACCCCATTTGATGGGAGAATATGACAAGCAAGGGTGTGAATCAAGGTAGAACAAAGTGTTGATGTCTGTGTGCTTGTGTGTCTCGCAGATCCCAGGCAGCTAGGGGGAAAGAAAAAGAGAAGGATGGAACCACAGACTCTGGGATCAAGCTAGAGCCTGTTCCAGGACTGCCAGGAGGTGAGTGCAGACTTCCTGCTACCTCAGCAGCTGTCTTCATGGTTCTATTCTGACCCAAGTGTGGCACCTGCTGCAGCTGAGTTCTCCCAGCAGGTCCTCCAAGGCAGTGGTGGCGAACCTGTGGCACACATGGCCACAGCAGCCTTTTGTATCAATGAACACTCTTTAACAGGTTTGCCATCACTGTTCTAAGGATTTAAAGGTGGCAGAAACAGTGTTACCAGGTGTCTTTGCCTCTGAGTGCTATTTTTTCTCCTCTAGCTCTTCCTCCCCCTCCTGCAGCAGAAGAAGAAGCTTCTGCCAACTACTTCAACCTGCCGCCAAGTGGTCCTCCAGCAGTGGTGAACATCGCTCTGCCACCGCCCCCTGGGATTGCCCCACCTCCACCCCCAGGTACAGTTCTTTCTCCTTCCTGGCCTGGGGTGTTCTAGTGAAAGTTTTGCATTTACTATAAGGTCTAAAGCAGCTGAGTCCTTTATGCTTGTCCTGTAGACATCTACAAACAAAGCTGATAGGTTGAGATTCCTGACATTTCATTGTTTTCCCAGCCTCCCAAAGAGAAGAAAGCCACCAGTTTTCTAAAGAGCTGAGAGAATAAGCAGGGTAGGAGTACTGGGTTACAGTGATCTGCCAGCAGTTTGTCTCTTGTCCTAAACTAAAGCATAGCTGATGCCCTACAGCAGTATTGCTCAAAGTATAGGTGGTGGGCAGATGTCATTTCACAAAATGTTTATTACCTGTCTGCAATACGATACAGAGCTTATGCCAGGCTATAAATCTCTGAACCATTTTCTTCATTAGAAAGTCTTACTACAAACTGATAAATAAGCAGTGTGCTTGGTTGCATAATTGAGTTAATTTTGGCCCAAGCTTGTTATCTTGTCAGTGGCCAGTAGTAAATAAGGGCCTGCTGTTTGTGCAATACTGCTCTAGAGAATGTCAGTACTGGTTAACAGCCTGAGGTAACCCAGGTGTCCACTTCTCCTTGGTGGAGAGCCAAGCACCCTCCATTCTCATATCGAGCACAGGTTAATGTTGGCAGTCTTGCCATAGGCCTAACTTCTTCCGCATTTTCCACATCCTGAGTGAATCTCATCTGGTAGGATTTGGTATGTTTAATACATAGCAGACACTCAGATGATGTGTGGTAGGTGTGCTGAGTCCTGTGGAGTTTTTTGTACTGAAATGAAAAGTTTCAATATCCAGGAAATAACTACAGACAGACACTCCTCAGTCAGTCCTGTGAACTGACACTACTTAAGCCAGGTCAGCCTTGATTTATATGTAGGTGATTCTGATCTCAGCAAGGTTCTGAGGTTTGAAAGGTTGTCAAGGGAACTTCCAGCCTAACAGATTTGTTCTATCCCATGTGCAGGTTTCGGGCCACATATGTTCCATCCAATGGGACCACCCCCTCCTTTCATGAGGGCTCCAGGACCAATTCACTATCCTTCCCAGGATCCGCAGCGGATGGGAGCTCATGCCGGAAAACACAGCAGCCCCTAGCACATTATCACCACTCTGGAGCTCTGTGGAAGGAAGAGCGCTTTAAAATCCCAGTACATGAATACTGGAATAAATACAATTTTCCTTCCTTTGTAATTTCCACGGTAGCTGAATGTGTTCAGATGTGAGCAGCTGGAGAATGACAGCCATGCTTCCTTACCTGCATTCAGAGGATCATTGGACCTCAAATAAGCTGCCATGAACACAACTGGTTACTTCTATAACATTACTAAGAAAACCTGTTTCCCTTAAACCTGTTTAGGGACAAGTGGATGAATTAATTGGCATATCCAACAGAGTTACCATTATATGTTCATTTTGTATTTTTTTGGTGAGGGGCAACAATAGATCTGCGGTAAAAAACCTTTTGACCATTTTTATGACTATTGGGTATTTTCCTTTTTATCATCTAAAAAAAATTAGTACTAATCACTGTAGTGGCGTAAGTGTGATTTAAGGATTTAACTCTTTTTAAAGTCACACCCCCAGAGAGAGAAGCAGAAACCAACACCCAGCACAGCCCAAATATTTTCTTTCCTCTCCTTTTCTTCAAGTATTACAGGAATCTGATAGTTTCACTTCTTTTCACTACCACAAAAAAAAAAAGAGACAGAAGTAAAAATTCCTTTTTATTCCTATCGGATGGAAATACAGATTTTATGGAGCTGTGTATCATTGAAGAAACCTAGTGTCCAGGATGAAATTATTTTGAAAAACTTCCTGTAAAAACATTTTTAACAAACTGAAAAGAAAAGCTTTGGCGTATGTTTGAATGGAAGACCTGTGACCTATGGCTGCAACTCTGATCTTCAGCATTCACCTTTGTGTGTCTTCAGCGTCTCATTGTAGTCCCCTGCTTCTGGGCAGGAAACTATTTGGTCTTAGAATGTTTGGATATAACTGAACTGTAGATGTAAGGGAAATTTGATGTGTTGCATTGTTTTTAAATAATTAAAACGGGTCGTTTTCCAAAAGTTGTTGGCTTCTATATTTGTTCATCTTTTGGTAACCGAGTTTCAGGTCAGTGGCTGTTAGAAACAAGTTACATATAAGTGAATTTTTAAAATCTTGCTTTAGATTGTCTTGATGGTAAAAAGGTTCAAGCATCTTTAGTTCTTAAGTCAAAGACTGTGAGACTGAGATTAGAGTGCACTTAGTGTAGAGCCTGGCATGTGTTGGTTGATAAATGTAGCTTAAAAGTCTGTCTCTCAGCCGGGCATGGTGGCACATCCCAGCATTTGGGAGGCTGAGGCAGGAAGATCATTGCGAGTTTGAGACCAGCCTGGGCTATGAAGCGAGCTCAAGGCCAGCCTGAACTCCATAACAAGTCCCTGTCTCAAAAAGACCAAAAAAAAAGTCTGTGTCTCTTTCTAGTGTGTGCACTTTGTTTTTGAGACAGTCTTGCTATGTACGTCAGGCTGGCCTTGAACTCACTTATGTAGCCCAGGCTGGCTTCAAACTCACAGTGATCCTCCTGCCTCAGCCTCCCGAGAGCTAGAGTTACAGATGTGCGCCATTATGCCTAGCTCACATGCAGTTTTTGGAACAGGTCTCATATTTAGTCCAAGCTGAGCTCTGAACTCACTGTGTAGTTCAGGCTGGCCTTGAACTTCAGCAATCCTCCTGCCTTGGCCTCCTGAGTGCTGAGATTACAGGTATGCACCACCATGCTGGCCTTCAAAGTGGCCAGAGGCTGGGGATATAGCTCAGCAGCACAAGCACCTGCCTAGCAAGCACAAGGTCTTAAGTTCGACTCCCGGTACCAAAACAAAAAAGTGGCCAGGAGGCTAAGGTAGAAGAATTGAGAGTTTCAGCCTAGAGACCTTGTCTTAAAAAAAAATAAAGTCATCCTTACACAAGTCATTATAAAAAGAAAAGGCAAAATATCTATAAATCCATTTTTTTTCTTCAAGCCAATGCCACGCATTGTTACCTAAAACACATACTTCTAGGATGAGCATGCACCCCCTCAGAAAGGAAGAGCGACTTTCCCTCTTACGCGTTTTCATTCCATGCCAGCTCTGGCCCAGTCCCCAGCCTCTCGGAGAGCGGTGTCCACGTTCAGAGGAGCATCTTACCACACAGTGCGCTGGTCCACCTGCCACTGTCTAGGCATCCCTCATCAGTGCGTTACAACCAAGATTAACCCTCACATTACTTGAGGGTGATTTTTCACTGTTGGAAAGTTGCTGTTCTAGGAATTTTTATTTTCTTTTAACTTCTATTTTGTGTCTTTACCTAATTTGATGCATTATGGCCATTCCAGGTATGTCTAATCTGTTATTAATCTTCATTTTTTTTAAAAAAAAGGTATTTTGTTAAAATACAGCATACACAATGTACAACTTAAATATGTGAAGTGAACATCTAAGTAACAATCACCCCAGCCTAGAAATAGAAAACTTGTAGTTACCCCAGTGGCATTTATTATGTCCCTTCAGACTCACAAGCCCTTCCCTCCCAAAGATAAATACTGACTTTTCTATTAAACATTTCCTTACATCAGTAAACATATTTACTTGCCTTCCCTTGTTCATCACGATGTTACTGAGGTGTAGCTATGTGGTTGTATGTAATGAGTTTATTCATTGCTATTACAATATTTTGGTTAGTCCTGAACCTTTCCACTTACATAAAGAACAGAAACAGGCAAAGATGTTGATTTGTATATGAAGGACTTGTTAGGCCCCCAAATTACATGAAAGGTTAATTACTTGCCTTTTCAGGATCAGAATTTTATTTGCTGAATGAAGGACAGTACATATGGTGCAATTTCATTGACACAAAGACATACCTATGTACTCAGGCACCTGTATACATGTACACAGTCACAGAATTCCATCACTCATGGCTACCGCTGGTACACAGAAATGAAGCGGAATGCAGGAGGGTGGGAAGGTGTAAGGATATGAATAAGGAGTTGTGTTGGGCAGATACTTTCACATTTTATTTCTCATTTTTTTTTAACATCAGCAAAGTCAGATGATCAGAAGAAAAAAGGAAGGAGGATCCACTTCTGGGTACTAGCATCTCCCCTCTTCCCCAGGCTCTCTTCTGTGTGTGGTAGCTGGGGTTACCTTCCAGAGCACTGCAGAACCAACTCAAGCCATTCCAAGCCCACTCTTCTACTTTCCAGACACTAATCTAATGTTCCTCAGCTCACAGAAACCTGGCTTTAAACAACAGCCCCCAAATTCAAGAGAACACATCAATTACAAGCAATCCTAAGAGACTGGCTACTGGCCCCAAGACCCAGATGGGAAGAGAAACTTTGGAGCAAAAAGAAAATGTAACCACTGTTCCACCCAGCCCGGAGTCGAGGCGGTAGAGGGAGGCAAGGTCGGGGAAATTCTTGTCCAAAGAGCGTGCTACAGTGATGAGCCACTTTCCTTCCGCGCAAGCTTTTCTGAACCCAATGGCATCCCAGGAGCTTGCTTCTCAGGCTGTATCCACTGCAAGAACATCTGTTCCAGGCATAAGTAGTGGCTGCAAGAAGCCTAACACTGGGCCCTTATGAATGTACTCACTGAACTCACAACAGCCCTATAAAGAGCTTCTGCGTTTATCTCATCTTACAGATGGAGAAACAGGATCAAGATGGGGAATGACTTCCTCAAAGTCACGTGGCTTCAAGTCAAATGGCTTCCTTAAAGTGGTAGAATTACAACCCAGCCCATCTGATACCCCAGCTTCCACTCTTAACCTCTACACTGCAAGGCAGAGCACCAACATCAGTGATTGTAGGGTGAGTGGGCATTGGTTTGGACCCCCAGGATGGTAGAAATATTCATCCCCTCAACCAGTCATTTTGACTGCCCAAGACAAATCATTTCTTTCCTCGGAACCTGGATATCCATATCCGTAAGTAGGGAGAAAAGTATCATGCAGTCACATTGAGAATGAGGAATAGAATATATAGAGAGCCTACTGCCAGCCCGAGCACTGGGACACTAACTAGAATGCAGCTGCTGCCACCACCACCAACACCATCTTCATCATCACTTGTACCATGGGGCCTGCTCAGCATGGAGGATGGGAAGGATTCCTTGCAAGTGCCCTACTTTGCGCCCTTCAGATGAGGTGCAAGACAAACCATGGACAGGTGACACTGGAATCACCTGGTTAGTAACAGACGCCCCAGTGCAGGAGGTTCTGATGCTGCCAGTGGGAGGCAGACCGGAAATCTGTTTCAGGAAGCATATCTGCATTTGGATTCTACTAAACTTTGTGACCTTCAAGGCCATTTGCAACAATGGTTTGTGTATGAAGACTCTTTATAAACTGTAAAGTGCTGTCCAAAAGTCTTGGCTCCAGATGTTACCTGAGCCCCAATTCTGGGGAACCAAGCTTCAGGCTGGGCCTACAGCTCATCAGACTCTGGGAGATTGCGTACCCAGCCCTGAGCCACCCTGTTGAAGCTGGGTCTGAGACGGAGGAGTTCCAAGCCATTGAAGGGCTCCAGGACAAAGGAGGTGGCTGCCCTGGGAATGGCATCCCCCATGAAGGGTCTTCCAAATGGCACCGGGGTCCTGGGGTAAGAAAGCAACAGGAGAGATAGGCTGTGTGGGATACGGATGCTAGAACACAGACAGGCAGGTCACCACATATGACCCCTCCCTGACTACCTCCAGACCTCAGTTTCCCCTTCTGTATTGCAAAGGTTCCGTTAACTAGTGTCCCCAGCTCTACCGCTTCCCAAGTCTGCCCCTCAGCATTAGAAGTGGTTCATCCTTGGCAAGACTAGGCTCTCCTAACAGCAGCATGTGAAAGTAGGGTTTTTCCTTGCTCTTATCATCTCCCCTTAAAATACCCATGCCCCCAAATGAGAAGGGAGGATAGAAAAGCAGTGAGAATCAGGGAAATGTAAATTACAGCAGATACAGGCCATTTCTCCCCTGTAAGACTGGCAAATGGAAAGAATCTGATGGGGGCAAAGTCAATGAGGTAGGGGCAAAGTTGCATTTATAGTCTTCTGGCTAGAGGGTAAACCAGCTCTCATGGAGAACAATCTGGAAGGATCTTCCTAAACTGAAAAGGTGCAAACATTTCACCCAGCCACTCCATCTCTAAATGTATGACTTAGGGAGGCACATGTGTGTGAGCATGAGGAAGCAGATGGGCAGTGCAGCAGCAACAAGAAGTGACCCTTAAGTGCACCAGAAGAGTGGACAGGGCAGAGATAATATATCACATATAGGATGCTATTTTGGAGCCCAAAGGGGTGAAACTTAAAAGTATAATGTTGAAAGGACAAGTTACGGACTGAAATGCAAAATACTGTATTAAAGCACATACACACCCACAAAACAATGTCTACAAGTCTGCAGCTGTCCATACAAAATGTTCCCAACACACAGAGGCCAACCTGACAACTGCTGCCTCTGGCAAGGGGCTTGGGATTGGAGAAAAAAGGTGTTCGCTTTTATTTGTAGTTGCTTAATTTTTTTTTCAAAGAGAATACACAAACTGGGCATGGTGGCACATCCCTGTAATCCTAGCACTCGGGAGGTTGAGGCAGGAGGATCATTGCGAGTTGGAGACCAGCCTGGGCTACTAAGTGAGCTCAAGGCCAGCCTGAATTGCATTAGCAAGAACCTGTCTCAAAAAACGACAAAAAAAAAAAAGAGCAACAAGAATACTCACATGGTGATCAAAAATACAATGTTTAAGTGTAAGTATAACAAAGTAAAAGATATTGCCATTAACTCCCCCCAAATACTCTCTCTTGCTTTGAACAGGCTTGTTCTGTTATTCTTTCCATTTTCTGAAGTTCTGAACGTCCTCTTTTATGTATTTTTGAGGCTGCTTCAGTGTCCAAAATCAATTGAAAATGTTTGAAGTTGCCTCAATGTCCAAAATCAACTCACAATATTTATAGCAATTTCTGTCAAATAAAAACCTCATGGCGAATCATCTCTCTTATTCACTGGATCTAGAACACCACAGGACCTCTGGTTCTTCCACAAAGTCAAAATGACAAAGGTAAATATTGTGCATCAATTTCAGACAACCAGGACAGTACATCCAAAGATACACACAAAAGAGGACTTCCAGGACTGCTTCAAACTGGTAAGAACAATGGTATAAGTGTGTTTGAAGTAAGAGAAAGTATTCTGAGAGTTAATGGCAGTAAGTCCTTTTTTTTTTCTGGTCTTTCTGAGACAGGGTTTTATTATGCAGTTCAGGCTGGCCTTGAACTCACTTTGTAGCGCAGGTTGGGTTCCAACTAGAAGTGATCTTCCTGCCTCAACCTCCAGAGTGCTGGGATTACAGGTGTGTTCCACCATGCCTGGCTAATGTGTTTTTTAGTGTAATAATTTTTTTTAATTTAAGCATGCACTGTATTTTCCTTTTTTTTTTTTTTCATGCACTGTATTTTCAACCACACTTTATGTGCTGGGTGTGTGTGTGTGTGTGTGTGTGTGTGTGTGTGTAATTTTAAAACCATTTTTTTAATTTTAAGGAAAATAAAATAGCACTGTTCCTGTAGTATTTTTCCTACAGCAGAAACCAGAGGGAAGAGGGGAATGCTTGGCTCTGGCCAGGGCCAGGACCCTGCCAGGAAAGCATTGCTGCCTGGACCAACCCAGCTTTGGCCACAGCAGCCAGGTCCTGCAGGAATAGATGGGCAGTGTCCAAGCCAGGTGGGCCACTGACCGGGAGCCCAGAACCCGTAAATATCTGAGTCTCGTTTGGCTATCAATACTGCTGTTTTCTTTGTCTGTGCCTCAGTTGCTCCTTCTGTTCCAGAAGGGATCTGGGCTCAGGACTGCCATGGACCCTCCTGCTTCTGGTGGGAATATGCCACAACCAATCACTCTTGAGGCATGCAATGGCTGGAAAATGCCCCGAAGAGCTGGCCAGCCTCAAAGTTGGCTGCCAGGACACAAAGTCTGCCTAGGGCTTTGGGCAGTCCGGCCTGGTGGGGAACTCCAGAGTGTCTGCCAACGGCTGGTGGCTCACAGTGCCAATTCTTCCCATCAAGGCCCTCCCCAGCTATTCAGCTGGCTAAGGCAGTCACACCGCTCCTGAGCCATCTTGTCTGGAGGCCACCCCACCCCTGCATGTGCCATGCCCCTGTCCTTGCTCCCTCCTCTTAGGACCTCATCTCCAGGCCTCCACAGGCCCGGCACACAGCCCACTGTCTTTGTCAGGCAATCACCACGTGTGGTCTGAGCAGGTGCCAGAAGAGCTGGACCACAGCCTCCTCTCTGGCGACCCTCTTGGTCCTCACTTAATGCAGTCAAAGCCAGAGAAGCATATTCAGAAACGGCATCAGACCAACAAAACCAACTGCAATGGAAATGTATCCCCAGCCTAAGAGCCTCCTCCAGGGCCAAGCTCCAGTCTTGACTCCTATGGGTGGTTTTTGGCTCTCAGGGCAGAATTAAATTGGTGCCTTCCAAGTTTTTCCCTGCTGGCCTCTCCCATCACCATTTCGGCCTGTAAGCAGCAAGTAGATGTAGCCACTGTTTACTGAGAGCTTACTACTCGCCAGAAACTTCACCTGTGTGTCTCGTGTCATAGCAACCTTAAGAAGCAGGCTCAGGTACAGGTTCAGATGGGACCCTGGAAGTGTAGAGAGGTTAAATCACTTGCCTAAGGTCACCAGTCTAGGCCTGGGGTGGGGCCACAGTGAGGTCCCACTAAACCAGAATAAGCCACTCCTCTGTGGCCCTCACCTCTAGTGCCGCTTCCTGCTTTGGGCCACCTCAAAGCTACCTTCTAGGCGTCTTCCACACCACTACTGAGAGCAAGAGGCTAGGCTGGCCTAGGACTTGTAAGATCTGGGGGTCTCCTGGGAAAGGTCGGATTCTCGACGGCCATCATAAAGGTGGCCCACGGCAGCACGGAGAAGGAGACCGCAGCTCTGGAGACAGGCATGCAGGGCCCTGCTGCTCGCTTCCTCCCCGTTTTGCGGCTGTGGGCAGGTTGGGAAAATCACGGCACCCGGCCCCTCCTGTTGTAGAGGACGCAACCAGATGCCTGGCACTTTCCCTATCCGCTCTGCCTACCTCGCCCATCAGGTACCGAGGCTCTGTTCTAGCAAGACGTCATTGTCGCCAGCGTCGGGGCTACACCGGCCTAGCCGGTGTCCGGAAAGGAGGGCGCACGCTGCCACGCCCCTCCCGGGCCGCCCCCAAATGCCCGCCCCCGGCCTTACTTATTGAAATTGCGGCAGTCTCCGAGGCTGGGGGTGTGGCTCCGGCCGTCGCACGAGTAGTCTCGGTAGCTGACGAACTCCTGCCACGGGCAGCGGTAGCCCTTGGGGACGGCGGTGTGGTTGAACTTCTCCGGCGGGACGCTCTTCAGGGGCTCGGCGTAGCCTGCGACGACCCGGCCAGGGCGTGGGGCGCGCGGGCGGCAGGGGGCGCCCCGGCCCGCCCTCAGCCCCGCCCCCAGCCGAGGACCGGGTCGGACGGGGCCGGCTTTAGGGAGGAGGTTGGGGACACGTGGGCCCCACAAAGCGACCCCTCCCGCGCGCCAGGCAGCCGAGCGAGCGGCGCGAGGGGACCCCGAACACCAGGCGCAGGCTCCGGCCGCGCGGGCTTGTGTTGTGGGGGTGGGGCGCGCGCGTGCGTGCGCGTGCGTGCGTGTGCGTGCGTGCGTGCGTTCGCTTTTCTCGCCTCGCCGTCGCGCATGCACCGCGCCTGTCCCAGGACCCGGGGCGCCGCTCACCTGGCGCCAGGGCGCTGGGGCTCCGCGCGCGGTCCTTGCGGGCGGCTGCGGGGCGGGCGTCCCCTGGGTCCCCGGACGAGGCCGGGAGGACGTGCAGCTCCGAACGGTAGTTCTGCCCCTCCGGGCAGTTGGCGACCTGGGCACCGGGTTCAGATATCAGGGACGGCGGGTAGCGGCGTGGAGCTGAGCCCCCGCGGGTCCCCTCTGCGCTCACCGTCTGGGGCGCCGACGCTTCGGTCACCTTCCCCTTGGTGCTTCTGGCCGGGATCTGGGGGAACAGACAAACCCAGCGAGGCTCAGCGGGGCGAGAGGTCAGGTCCCCCTCTACCCAGGGAAGGAGAGCGAAGGGGAGGAAGATGAGGGGACCCCAGGGCCCACATCCAGGCGGTGCTGGAGGGATGCTAATAGTTTACAGCGCTGTCCCCTGCCTGGGACAGAGGACTACGCGATAAGTAGTCATTGCTACTGGCACATCGATACTCCCCAGCCTCAGCTTTCTTCTGGGTAGGGGCGGGGATGACACCGCCTAGTGTTCTCTGTAAGGATGCACAAGGGCGCTTAGCTAGCTCTGCCTCTCAGGCACACAGCAAAGTTAAGTATCTGCCATCCTTATTTTCATCGCCTTATTCGCTCTCTGTCGTCTCCTCTAGCCCAGAAACTGAACGCCTGACTCTGCCTGTTGCCTTTTTCAGGTCCAGCAGATTGTCCCAGGGTCACTTCCTTCTCGGCGGAAGCAGGAAAAAGGCATCCTGCAGTGTCCATCTAGGATCAAACTGAATCTGAACAAATCCTGCCTGCCGCTGAGTTGACCAAGGGCACAGGGCTATTCTTTCCCATTTTTTCTAGGCACCAGAGGGGGTCATTCCACAGTACGTCCCGCTCAACCTGCTTTATGTTTTGCGTCTGGGAAAAGATGGCTGAAGAACATTTTTCAGTGATCACACAGCACAGCAGGGGCTCACTGGGATGGGAACATCAGCCTCCCAGTTGGAACGGAGGGACTGTCCAAGGACCAGAGGTCCTCAGCCTGTTACTGTTTGTCCTTATGCTGACCACTGGCTCCCTGTGCGCCTCAGTTTCCCTGTGAGCACAGTGGAGGCTTACTCACCGCCTGCTGGCTGGCTGCAAGCTCAAACGTGAACCTCTGCACCCGGCGCTGCCTCTTCTGGAAGAGCAGAGATCCCCGGTTGTTGCGCAGTGACAGCTCTTCTATCATCAGGTCCTGGGGCACACTCACCTTCTTCCCCAGGTCCAGAGAAGGTTCTGCACGAGAGGCCGGGGAGCTCTCACTACTTAACCCCCAGCATTCCTGGCCAGAGCCTCTAAAGCCCTGGGGAGAGCACTGCAGGCTGTGTGGGAGGCTGCCTGTGTCTTCCCAGTCTCGCTGACGCTGGGAGTCATAGTTCTTTGGAATCTTTGTCCACCTGATGGGCAAAAATGGTTCCTCGGTGCTTGATGTTTAGTGAAGCTGAGTGCCGTTTTAGAAGTTCTTTGGCCATTTTTATTTATTCTGTAAATATCTCCCTAGCTCTTTGCCCATCAAGAAGGTAGTGAGAAAGAATCAGATTTTGAACACTCTTCTTAAAAGTTGGCCACAGGCACAATATGAGAAAAAGTGAAAGGCACTTTTTGAACTAGTGACTAACTTCAAAGAAGACAGCCTTTCCACCGGCTAAGGGTAGAGCTGGTTGGAAGGTCAGATTGGGGTTTCACGAAGAGCCCGAAACGGAGATCCTCCGCATGCATAGTTCACAGTGTGCAGTAGGGGTCACGCTCCTAGGAGACCAACACAGTGGCTGATCTAACATGAGCTCAGGCAGTGGTGGGGACCATGCGTGTGGAGGAGTTCCAGGGCTCCTGCCTGCCCTTACTAGTTTGGGATCCATCCCCTACTTTTGTGCTTTCCATGCTAGGAAAAATGCATACTTTCACATTTGACTGTCAGGGAAGCTTTTTAGTGACAGGAGAGTGAGGACCTTGACAGGAGAGGGTTCTTTGCGGCAGAATGGCCATGTTGCCCATCTCTTAAAATTAGATGCAGGGCTAGGAGTAGAGCCCACTAGTAGAGTGCTGCTCGCTTAGCATGGGCAAGTCCCTGGGTTCAATCCCCAGCACAGCAAGAAAACAAATTTAATTAATTAATTAGTTAATTAAAGTACTCACAGGTTGATTGCCAGCTCTGTAAATGGTCTTTTAGGCTGGGAGGCTAGATAAGGTCAGGAAAAAAGGAGAATAGATAAAGAGACTCGGACACTGAACGCTGAGCCCACCAACATTCAGATTGAGGACACAAGCCAGCCTGGTAGGCTGAGAAGGGGCAGTCATTGAGGTGGGAGGAAATCTAAACAGTGGTGTCCTGGACACCCAACGATGGCATTTCAGGGCCGGCAGAGTGACAGTGGTATCAAATGCTGCTATGTCAAGTCAGATGAGTGCTGAACATCATTAACTCAGTTTCTGTGGAGAATTTGGGTGTGAACACCTATCGGAGAGGGTTCCAGAGTAAGTGGACAGGGAACAAGTTTAATAATGCCAATGAGGAGCAGTCAGCCAAATTGAGGGTGTGAGGCCTTCTACATGGCAACTGGCCTGGTTTCTTCTAACACATGAATGACGTGGAAATAAAGGGCAGAGGGGTTGTTTCAGATTAAAAGAGATTTAAAGGACATAGCAACCAAATAACAACCATGGCCCTTGTTTGGGTCCTGATTAACACAAACTGGAAAACTGGACAACACTGACTATGAGGCTGCTTATTAGTTATTATTAAATCATTGCTGCTAATTTTGTTCAGTGTGCACCTGTCTCTGTGGCATGTAAGGAAATGTCCCTTTTTATTACTTTGGATGCATGCTGAGGAACTTGGGGAATAAAATGGCATGTCCCTTGGCTTTCGCTCTGGGATCCAGGGATAAAGGAGGGACCTTGGAGATTTCTACACTCCACTTTTGTGTGTGTTTGGACTCGAGCATGATAAAATGTTAAAAAGAGGGTGGGAAGAAACATATAGACAACTACTTGGAGGGGCTGTGCTTTAAAGGCCTGTGGCTGCAGGCATCTGTGGGATCAAGAGGGTCTCTTTGTAAAGAGACAATGGCATGTGTGTTGGCCCTGGGAACATTTGGCAACACATAGAGAAAGAATTCTGGAAGGAATGTCCTTGAGCCCAAGGGGCAGGCAGGGTGTCTCATGCCCAGCTAGAAGGATCAGCCTAGACAGGTGTGAGAATAGCCCACCCACCCTCGCAGGAAAGAAAACAACATAAAACAAGGTGCAAGCAAGTAGGTAGAAGTGGCAGAGAGCTTTTGAAGATGTTCTGTTTTAGCTACTTTGTTTTTCCCAGTGAAACAAGGAGCAGGGTCATTAGCTGAAGATGTGGAGGGAGGTAGTGGGAGCATGAAGAGAGGAGTGAGGCTGCCAAGGTCAAGTAAGAGCCTGGAGAGCTCAGGCCGGGGAAATGGACGCAGAGCCTAGCGTCACTTAGGGTCACACGATACTAGGGTTCATTGCATTATGTGGAGTCCTAAGCAGCCACTAAGAAAAGGAGGTGGACTTGTTTTTTCCATTCTTTCAACAAAAATATAAAGAACATTTTGTAAATGCTAAAAGCATACAGATATCTGCTGTAGGTGAAGGGGGAGGGCACGTTTCGGAAGAATATGTATTCTAAGATTCCATTTATAAATTAAAAACGGGTGTGTGTGCATGGTGTTAAAGGGTTGGCAAAGAGACATGCCAGATATTATCAGGGACTGCTTATGGCGCATAGGAAGGAAGAGGGTGGGAGTTGTCTGTGCTGTTTGTTGTTTTTTGAGCAAGAAACTGTACTCAATTCTTACAAATATGAAAGAAAACATGAATACATAGTAAAAGTTCCCCCAAAATGTTCTTAATTACTACACAGGTGAACTGAGCTCATTAGTTTTTTTTTTTTTTAAGATAAAATGTTTGAAAAAAAAAAAAAAAAAGATAAAATGTTTGATTAATTGTATTACTAGAAATCATTCTCAGGGAAAAAGTTTATTGTAATGGGGTGTAAAATTGTGAAAACTGCGGGATTGGTCCTGGGTGGAGGCTGCCCAAATGCTCTTTATTAGTTTGCAAGTTCTGCAGAGAACTGCTCAGAACAGAGCTGCTGCCACCCCTTAACCAAGCAGAGGAATTCATGGTCCAGAGGCCCCCCCCCCCAAAGTATCACACTGAACTTGGACTCTAGCTGAACCTCATCCTTGCTTAGCTATTTCTCTGGCCCTTTCATGGCTCACTGCCCTCCTTTCTCCCAAGAGAACCCCCTCAACCAGTCAACTCAGGTTCTGGAGGGTCCCACCGAGACAAGCCTTCAGGACAGTGAGCAGGGCTGGTCCCAGGCAAATGACTTGTCCCAGCAGGAGTACGCTAGGGCAGTGGGGAGGGAGGCAGTGAGCTTTCCTTCCAGGCTAGAAAGACGGCTGTGGTGTGCTGCTAAGTGCAAAAGAAAGCAAGCTGAGGAACACAGCATGCAGTATTTAGCCCACATGTATGTGTGTTTAGATAAATATGTGATATACAAACAGAGGAATTTATACAAATATGTTAACAGTGGTTACTCCATATGGTTCCATTATGAGGAACTATAATTCATTTGTGTTTTGTCGGAACTTCTTTTTAAATGAGTGTGTTATTTACATAACCATAGAGGAGAAGCAGCTCTGGAAACAGAGACCTAAAGTCAAATTACAGCTCTACGCCTTACCGCACTCCTGACAGCCTAGCTCCTCTGAGCCACACTTTTCTCATCTGCTGAATGGGGATGTTACATAACTTATGGAGTTGTAGAGAGGCTCAAATGACACATGGCAAACAAGCTCTTAACAGATCTGATACACAATAACCATGTAAGGAGGGTAAGGGTTTACTATTACAATTTAAAATAGCTATTTTTAGGTGGTAAGACCAGAAGATTTATTTTTCATTTTTTTTTTCATTTCAAAATTGCCTTTACTTTGTACCTTAGCAATAATCAACAAGTTATATATTTGAAGTATGGCATAAATGATGTCAGGGAGGTCTATGACTAATTATCTAGACAGTTCTCTTCCAATTAGGGCATTACTATGTCACAAAGTTTGCATTTTTCAGCAAAGAAAATCATGGAGGGCAAAGAAATGTCGCATCACCACAGAGCGTGAAGAACACACAGAACAGGTTGAAAGGACGACGCACTTATGAAGTTCCACACAGCACGACTGGTAGTAACTTAGAACTCTGGTGGAGGCAAATTGCAGACGAGCTCTTGGACGGCATTCAGGAGGGTGCGCTCAAGTCACCTGCAGCGGAGCCACCCAGGCTCCTGCTCAGAAGGCAGAGGTGCAGACCCTACCTCAAGTCCGCCAAGTCAGAGTTCCTGGGGGCAGATGCCATTCTTCTGTATTTTTAATTAACAACACAGAGCCCCACCATGCTTTACTCTAAAGCTTGAAAGCACAACATAGTTGATTTTTTAATTACTTGAAATGCTCTAAAGTAGTCCAAATAGGAAATAGGACTCCAAAATTATACCAGGAGTTCTCTTTATGATCTTATAAAGTTGAGCAACATGAAGTTCAGATAATTTTGTCGTGAGAAAAACCCACTTTTAAGTGAAGTGCTTTGAGTCCATTTGGACAGCTGCTCTGCTCTTTACTCTGCCCTGTGGGCCTGGGCGCCCTGGGCTGTCCTCGGGTCTCAGTAGGACCTATAGTTACACCAAGCAATGTGCCGGGAGCTTCTGGCCACAGTGGGGCTACACACCCCAGAGCCCAAACCCCAGAGCTCAAACCGGGGTGGAGGGCCAGAGCCAGGCTCACCTTAGAACTGGGACACAGTCTGAGCCACTCAATCTCAGCTCCTAGTCTATGCACTAAGGGTGAAACCCCTCCAGAACCTCACAAAGGACGCAGCCCCGGTGGCATATTCCACAGGCACATCTTTCTGTCCTTCTAGAATTCACACCTGTGTGCCAGGTCTGGGGGCCAGTGGGCCTGAGACGTGCAATCTGGGATGAAGAGAGGAGTTTGAGGAAAGCACAGGGCTAGGCCCCCCTTACCTGGCCCCATGATGTCGCCCATAACGGTCATCGCTGGATCCTGCTGTTCCTTGGGAATCATCCTGTGGAGGAGAAGTGTCCACAAATGAGCAAGGTCCCCTCCCTTTCTCCCCAAGTCTCTGATCCACCTAGCTCCAGCTGTGAACAGCCCTGACCCATCCCCAAGTCATAAGCAAGGGCTGTGTGAGTTGGGAGGGGTCTGCTTGAGGTCTCTTTGCAAGGAGGAGAAGACTAAGGTCCAGAGGGACAGGAGAGGCACTGGTGGTCGTACAAGTCAGGGTCCACATTGCTCAGACACACGTTCTTCTCAGGGGCTGGTCCAACAAAGAGAGAGCCTTGTTTCCATCGCCTGCTAATTTCCACAGTGTCCTCTTCTCCCTCTCCTTCTCCCTCTGCCTCTGCCCTCTTTCTTTCCTTGGCACTTTCCAAGAATCTTGGACATTTACTGGACCCCCCACAGCTCCAGTGAACCCCTGTAGGCCCCAAATCCAGAGTCCTTAACTGTCCCCAGCAGAGGAAGCAGAGCTCCTGGGGTCCCCAAGAGCCCACCCGATTTTTCCATGCCCTCTCCTCCAGGAAATACTGCCTCCATCCGTGTCTCCCCAACCTGCCTGGGGCCCCAGGTCAGTGGGCACTGAGCTGGGCAGTCTGAGTTAGTGCACCTGACTTCCTCCAAAATTGTGAACAATGGCTCTCCAGCTCTGTGCCTCAGTTTCCCCCTGTAATTTAAGAGGATTGGGCTAAATCAGAGATCCACAGTGAGCTGCAAGGCATCCATGAGCTCCTAAAACAGCACATGGACCTGGGTGTGTCTGCGTGCTTTTGGAGAGGGGGCATGAGATGACCGAGGATACCCAACTGTCGCCTTTAGACGGCTGCAGTCCTCAGAGCGGTTGCTGGATAAACGCTCCCCTTACAGACTCCACTAGCACTAGGAAGGGTCTCTAGGCAGCAGGTAGCAGGCTGCTTCCTTCCAGTGCCTCTGACCCTGATGTCCTGAACAGAGCCTTTAATTGCTGCTCTGCTATTTCATGGCGGGCAGCCTAGAGCCAGAGTCCCCCTCCTCCCAGCCCAGGAGCTATGGAGCCCAGGCTCCCTGGGGCCCTAAACTCCCCAAATCCTCTGCAGGGCCCTGTCTCTGCTGAGGCGAAAGTGCTTTAGGAGCTGCCTAGCCCCGCTCTGTCCACTTTCCATAACTTCCCTGGCTCCCCTCAGATTCTGGTACCTGAGAGGACGGGACCACGGTGGGCAGGAAGGAGTTGTTGGACCCTCAAGATTGACCCCTCTGTCGGGAAGCTGAGTCGTAAGGTTCACGTCTGTCACAGTCAGCGGTCAGCGGTCAGTGGTCAGTGAGTGGGTGGTGCCCTGCCAGCTCTGGCTTCAGCTGACAAGAATCATTCTTGTCTTGTCGTGGGTCACAGCCTTATTTCGGGCTGCAACAGGAGCTGGGGCCAGATGCTAAAAGCACCAGGCCCTGGGGAGGACAGGTGCCCGGCAGCAGGCCCTTGCAGACAGAAGGGTTTGCACCCATGGGCAGACACACTCACATCTGCTCACATCACAGTCACCTGGAAATGCTGCCTGCTGCTGGTCACTTCAGCCCATTCACTGGTGCATACTTGGTGCCTGGAATGCTGCATGATAGGAACTCAGTTGGTATCTGTGAAATAAATGACGGGTGGGTGGATGGATGGGTGGGTGAGTGGGTTGCTCCCCAGTATCTTTGCTTGACCTATCCTTCCCTTTCCTCTTTCTTCCCTCCATCCCTTCTTCCTTCTCTTCTTCCCTTTCTCCCTCCCTTCTGCCCTCCTTCCACCTGCTCACATTCTCTAAGCCTCTCTCTCTGGACTGAAAATAAATAAGGCAGGGTTCTGTCCTCAAGAAGCTCAGCCAGCTCAGATTCAGACCCGTAAACAAGTCTTACGGGAAAGGCTCACCGGAGAGGCTGGGCGTGCAAGTTAACCGGCTCAGCCTGAAGGTCTGGCAGGCTTCCCAGAGGAGGAGACACTTGCACTGGGCCTTGAAGGATGACTGGGAGTTCACTGGGCAGAGAGGGGACAAGCACACTGTGGGCAGAGGACGTAGCACATGTAAAGATGGTAAGGGCTTGGCAGGTAGAGCCAGGGTTGGGGGCTTGGGGGCAGTGCTGAGAGCTGAGGCCACACAGGTGGGCAGGGCCAGATCCCAGCAGGCTTTTCAGAGGGAAAGTGGGTTCCAAAGAGCTGCTACGGAGATCACACGGAGCAGTAGTCACACTGGACTGCCCTTCTGGCTGCCAAGCAGTTGGATCAAGCAAGAAGAGAGGCTGAAGGCTGGGGTTATGGGCAGGCGGGAGTTGGGAGTGGCTGGGCTGGAGCGGGTAGAGAGAGGAAAGGGCATCAAGGGTACCTGGACGATCTCCACCTCACAGTGAGGGACTGGGGGTGGGAGATAAGGAAAGGTCGAGGTCAGTGACTCCTGTGCCTGGTTTGGGGACTGAGGAAGGCAATAGGGAGGAGCAGCTTGGTGTAGGGGACAGATGCCGAGCTGCTTGGGATGAACTTGGTGTTTTGTTTGTTTGGTTGAGTGATTGATTCTTGAGACAGGGTCTCAATACATAGTTCTGTAGTTCCAGCTGGTCTTGAACTCACTATGTAACCCAGGCTGGCCTCAAATTCATGGCGACCTCCTTCTGAGGCCGGCACCACCAGTGTGCACCACCACACCCTGCTCGGGATGAACTCAGTGCAAGGTGTTTGGCACTAGGGTGCAGTGACCAGCAGACAGCAGGGTTCTACACTCAGAAGAGGCTCCAGCCAAAGTTACAATCAGCCAGAGGGACACAAACCATTCCCAGGCATGGCAAGGATGCCCTGGGTCGAGCGTGAGGAGCGTCATGTCTGCATGTCCATGCTGACTGTCCGGGGTGCATTTAGACACCAGGTCAGGACTGAAGCCTGGACTCTGCTGTGGTCTGCCCTGAGCCCAGCTGCCTGCCCGGTGGGTTCTCTGCCCAGTCTCTGATGGGCCCACTTTTCTACAGAGGAAACACAGGATATCCCCCGGCCAGACATGTCCTCTCCCGGGAATGAGGCCACAGTCCCCTTCTGTAGGGAAAGGAGAGCCCTATCAGGAGAGGGACTCCCAGTGGACTGGGTCCGGCCTCACTAGGGCTGCCTGGCCTCAGATGTGACCTCTCATCGAGGCTCCTTGTCCTGCTGGGAACTCTGAGCTACTGCTATGAGGAAGTAGCCCCAGAGGACTGGGCCCTGACCCGATGGACTCTGTGCTCTAGTGACAGTGGCCTGTGGTCAGGGACTGGGCAGTACTGCCCCCAGACCTTACCTAATCCAATTCTCTCATTACACAGATAAGGAAGGTGCGACCCAGAGGAGTGGGCACACCCAGGGCCACCTAGTTAATCGGCCTTCACCCCAGGGACTTCTTCTGTGGTCTCAAGTTTTTCCATCGTTCCTCATCTCTCCTCATACCTCTTATATTCCCATTGACCCAGCGTCCTGTGGACAGTGTCCTGCTTAGGGAAAAGGCAGGGGCTCCAGAAAAGCCCAAAATGACACAGGAGGCAGATTTCAGAAAGCATTTATTGAGCTGAATTCTACAGGAGGTGGAGGCAGGACACAGGCAAGCTCTAGTGTGTTAGACAAGAGGGCAGGGGACAAGGCAGTTCCCATGAGGGGACAAGGCAGTTCCCATAAGCTGAGAGCTCAAGATAGAACTGTGGCTTCCCAAGGCTGCCTCCTGCTGGCTCCTCAGGGAAATGCAGGAAGATATGGATCCTCTATGCTACTATCTTAGCCAGAGGCCTCATAGTGTCCCTTCTCTGAGGCACTCTAACCCCCTCCCACGCTACAAGAGACCCTCCGGCAGGTGAGGGCCTTGGTAAATGTGGTTGTTCCTTATGAACTAAGCAAGAACACCCTCTCATCTTCCAGCAACAGCGCCTGTGCCCCAACTCTTAGGCCATAGGAAACTTCTAGGATTGCTCCTTTATTCCAAAGTGCCCCACTCAGCACTGACGATCTTCCATCCTGATCCAAGCTTTTTCTAGCCTTACTCGGGGTTTCCGGGTCTAACGTCACCCTGATGGTTGGGGAAGACTATGCCTAACCCAGAATCACACTGTCGGTCACCTTTAGCAACATCCTGATATTCTTTCGCCCCCACACACTTGATCGGTGGCTGATTCCCACCACCTACCACTCACCCCTTCAAAGTGTTGTGAAGCCATATTCTGAACCTCTAGGGGGCACCACTAGCCAACTCTGGAAATTACACAACTCTGGCCACCTTCCTCCTTGGGTCCCTCCTGGGGATCGGAAATAGCCACTAAGGTGGAACAGGCTAGGGCCTGCAGCCAGACTTCCAAGGTGACTGGGCAGCAGGCATGAGTTAGACCAGCATGTGATGGGAAAGGTGTGGATGGGACAATGTCTACTCTCCTGAGTGTGACTTGGACACCGGGCTGCAGACTGAAACAGGAGAGGGGCACTTCCCAGGTGACCAGAGACAGGCAGTCTGGCCGAAACCCTTACCTTCCCACGCCAGGTCATCTGCCCCTGAATTCCAGCTCAGCAGACCCTCCACCACCACTCCTCCACTTCCTAACACCACAGAGCACCTTTCAGCACTGGGAGAGCCCTCAGCGGTCACCAGAGCCAATGCCATCCCCTGCCAGACTCTGCTGTGCATCGTGGCCATGGCCTGCATACTGTCTCTAACAAGAAAGGCAAACCTCTTTCCCAATAGGCAAGCCCTCACTGAGGCCAAGCATGCAGGGCCACAGGTAGTATCTCTTCTTCCTTCCCTCAGTAACGAACCCACAGCCTGCCATGAGTGGGCCCAGAAGGGACAGGTGGGCTGGAGGCTCAAACCTAAGCCTGGGGAAAATCACTGCCTAACACTGCTCTTCCCTGCACGGGCTGAGCTGGGTGGAGAAAGTATTGTGACACGGTCTGGGGAGAACTGTCCTGCCCCTTCTCTCCACAGGGGCCAGCAAGGCACCTTGAACTGGCCTGGGGGATCTCTCTAAAGGTCACTGGGTAAAAATAGATCTTCTCTGAGAAGGGATGGAAAACAGCTGCTCCCGCCTAGGACTTGGCGCCAGGGAGCAGGATGGTCAAGCCAGGGCCTGGCCATGGGACGCAGCCTAAGTCCTGACTGCTCGTGTGCCAGACTCAGGGGAGCAGCGCGCGCGAGGCAGGCGTGTGGAACCTGGAACGCAGCACGCCCGAAGGGCCGTGTGCACGGCTGCCTCCTTTAAGGCACGAGTGTGCGTGCGGATGGAGCGGGAAATTTAGACGTTCGCAGACTCCAAGGCCACATTAAACACATGTGAAAGCTGCGGGCCCGGGGCCGAGTCCCGCCGCGGCCACACAAGGAATCGCGGCTAGGGCCGGACCCGCGCGCGGGGCCCAGCGCTCTCCTTCGGCCCCTATGTCCGAGGCTCTCCAAAGGGCCGGGGTAGCGCGCTGGGTCCCGAGCCCCGGCCTCACCGTCGGCCTGCGGGCGGCGCCGCGGCTTAGGTGCTGCACGAGGCCTCGGCGGGGAGGCTGCCGCGCTTGAGCCGCAGGCTGCCGCTCCAGCCGCGGGGGCAGATGTTGTAGCCGAGGATGCCGGGCGACTTGACCCCGGAGTCTTCCGAGTCCAGCGACACGTCGGAGTCCGTGGGCGAGCGGCGGTAGGGGAGGGGCCTAGGCGGCGCGGGCAGCGGGCTGCGGGGAGCGGCGCAAGGC